TATAGTTAAAGAGAGGAAGAAAAATAAATAATTGAAAAAAAAAATAAAAATAAAAATCAAATAGAAATAAAAAACAAATAAAATTAAAAGGAAAAAACGGCAAAATGATCAAAATATTGTTGAATTTACTTGCACCCGTGCCATATACCATTTATACTTATTTTACTTTTTGACGAGGATTTCCAAAATGTAATTATAAATTACTTTTAATTATAAATTACTTTTAACACTAAGGAATTATAAATTACGGAACGGTAAGTGAATGAAATATATTAAATAGTTTGAATGCCTACCTAATTTTAGTAAGTTTTTTTCTGCCAATATTACAGAAGACGATCAAAGATGATTGAAATTGAAGATGTGACAGAAGATGAAAGAAAAGCAATTGAAGAAGTAAGAATGTGGTACTTTTATTTCACTCTGTTTCTATTACTCATCAAATAATTAATCAATTCCAAAACCGAAAATAAAAAATTATAAGTAAATAATCAGTTATTTTTTTTAATGATAAATAGTTTTCGTAATTTAGATGAACAAAACGTGTTTTACATTTAAAGATTTCTCAACCGACGTTAAATACGATAGAACTATTTCAGTCAGAATGTTTAGAGCATTCAGTTTTACGGAACACTTACTCCCCCTCCCCCAGAGAAATACCTTACTCGATTGAGTTTCGATCCTTTCTAGCCAAGTTTGAGTATCTTTTACAAAATGTTTATCGAATTCGTTGCCAGATACGCAAACTAAGGTCAATGAAAAGGAATACTAACATTAATGTTGGTTAACTAATTAGAACGTTTAAAAAACGAACAGGGTGATAAAAATTAACTCGGAATAAATTATTAACTAGGTATAACAAGATAAATTTTGCACGGCTTTTAGATAATTTATGTTTTAAATTTAAAAAAAATATATTATCAATTCATTACATAACTTGTTGTCGTCGTCTGCCATTAAGGCACAGGGGGTGCGATTGTTCTTGTTTTAAAGTGGCGCCATCTATGGCCAAGAATTGATACTATGGCGACTTCTGCCACATCCATACGCCAAACCCGCTCATAGGGCGGAAGCAATCATACATCCCTTTATTCATCCAAAGATCGTATTTATTTTCATACTACATAACATTAAAATTTTTCTTATAAGCGCACTGCTGCATCTTAAGGGAAAAAAAGTCTTATATATCTCCAAATGAGGGTGAAAGTGAGCAGTTGAAATTTCCAGTGCTAAGAAGATAAAGAGATGAGTCCACTCTTAGAGCTGTCTATTGATGACTCACCCGGAATCCCCCGCTATCTATGAGAACGGCTATTCCTGAGAAGATGAGTCTTGCAATTCTTTCCTTTCTTGCGGACTTACGGATTAAAAAAAAAAAAAAATTAAAAAACGTATGTTGCTATATTCTTAGAGATTGTTTTTAAACTTGTGTACATATATCATCATCTTCAGTAATTTTTCCTGCCATTTAACAGACAAACAAAATTTTGACCAAAAATCGACAGGTAAAATTAGTCGAATTTCAATTGGAGTTTTGAACTGGACGACTATGTAAGTTTCAATTGTTTCTTGATCACTACAAGCAAAACATTTTGCCACACTATCGCCGATGGAAATTAATCGTAAATCGAAATTTCGATCACTTTCTGAGTATCTTGAATGATCAAAAATTTAAACTTATGCTTTTTTATGTATAACGATATAAGTTTTCGTAATTTCTTGTCTGTTAAATGCAAAATTTGTTGTTATATTATCGACAAAGGAAATTTATTGTCAATCAAAATTTTGGCCATTTTCCAACTAGCTGGTGTGATCATAACCCAAATGGAGTTTATTAATGGAGTTATTATGAAATGAAGCTATCCCAAATGAAGTTTATTAATGGAGAAATTATAAAGATCAATTATTTCCTCATCACTACAAGCAAAATAATTTATGGTTAATTAAATTTCGGTCACTTTCGGCTAGTTAGAGTATTTAAAACTGAATTTGAGTTCTGTGCTGGAAGACAATACAAATTTTAAATATTTGCTACCATTAAGAGCAGATTTCACTATTTTATTGTGCAAGATATAGAATTTATGGCCAATCGAATTTTCTACCACTCTCTGAGTATCTTAAATGCTGGTTCTTTATAAAGTATAACAATGTAAGTTTTTGTAGTTTCCTGTCCGTTAAATGAGGGATTTGTTGTTATATTATTGACAAATCATCGCTTTGAAACTAAACCGTGGTAACTCAAAAAAGCAAGTTTTCAGGAGAGCGATTTCAAACTTTCCGCGCTAATGCTAATCGTTGCAATGCGATGACGATTTATTTGCTCTCTAAATTAACTTTATGGAACTATAAAGATAACAGGTTGTGTTTTTAAAAGGGTGACTTTTTTTACACAAAATGACCCAAAAATCTCATTTTTCTAATTTTTTGAGTTACAACGGTTTAATTTCAAAGCGACGAAATAATATTGATTTGTTAATCAAAAGTTTGGGCATTTTCCAACTAGCTGGTGTGATCATATCCCAAATGGAGTTTATTGGTGGAGTTATTATTGAATGAAGTTTTCCCAAGTGGAGTTTATTATTACAAATGGAGTTTATTATTACAAATGCAGTTAATGGAGAAATTATAAAGATCAATTATTTCCTCATCACTACAAGCGAAATAATTTAAGGTTAATTTAAATTTAGACTTTCGACTAGTTAAAGTGTTTAAAACTAAATCTGAGTTCTGTGGTGGAAGACTATACAGATTTCAAATATTTTGTTACCGTTAAGAGCAGATTTGGTTATTTTATTATGCATAAAATAGAATTTAACACCAATCAAAATTTTGACCTCTTTCCGACTATCTAGAATGCTCAAATTTAAACTGGAGTTCTATGTAAGCTATATACACTGGTGGACAAAATTAAGAGATAGAAGACATTTTCCCAAATATCTCAAAAAATACTGAATATAATTAAATGAAATTTGGTATGGATATAGCTTATTCCATGATAATAAAATATGCAAAACAAAAATGAAAGTGCCATTCACTGGCAAGACCTATTGTCAATAAATCCAATGTAGTCTAAATTTAAGGATAAAGATGACAATAAAAGTGAGGCTTGTACAGTGTGTGTTGCCTCTAGTATGGTTACCCCTGACAGACAGACAGCATGCACAACGAGTATGCGTGCTGTTAATAAGGGAGTTAAGGAGGACTTGTGGAAGACCTTCCCATTCTTCCATCAGAGCAATTTTTAACTCCAGAATGGTTCTGGGGGGAGGTTGGCGCATCGCAATAGCTCTCCCAAGAGCATTCCAAGCATGTTCACTAGGATTCAGGTCAGGGGATTTGGCTGGCCAATCCATTCGTTGAATATCCTCGCTTTCCAGATACTCATCAACCATGAGAGCCCTATGTGGTCGCGCATTGTCATCCATAAAAATGAACTCAGGTCCGACAGCGCCCCTGAAAAGACGCACATAGGGCTCTATGATCTCCTGCCTGTACTTCTGGGCATTCACGTAACCATTGTCAAACACATGGAGCGGTGTGCGGGTATCTTGCAAGTGCGAATAAATGTTCGAAAATGCTTTCCATCTCTTAATTTTATCCACCAGTGTAATTACTTTTTAAAGAGAGGAAGTGATATTTATTACGAATCAAAATTTCCACGATTTTCCGACATAAAAAATTAACAGACACGAAACCAAGGAGAAGAAAAGAATATAGTAAATTTATTGAAAACTTCATAGCTGTGTTTAAGCTTAAATTTGATTTTATTGCCACAAAATCCTTTAGGTGAAGGTCAATTAATGTTTGCAGTAGATTATGTTTAGTTGACGATTAGAGACTAAAGCCCCGAAACAAATATCTTTGACATTTATAAATATGAATGAATTTTAATGTAGTTTTCATTTTATTGTAGTCTCGAAGCTAAATTCTATCCTAAGTTGTTTTAATAGCTTAAATTATACTTTGTTTAAACTATTTTATAATAAGTAAGAACTGCAATAACCTTTTTTGTTTTTTAATTACATATTTGACAAAACTAAACTATTTTCGACAAAACTATAAAAGCGCGTTGCATTTTATCAGGTTGAAAGAAAAATTATAAATTACATTTGAAACTTCCTTAATTTTTTATAATGTTTTCAAACGGTTTTCACTTTGAAAAATTATGAAGATTTTCGTACTTAGAAATATTTCATGGTATTTCAAACTTAGTAATATTTTCAAACGGTTTTGACTTTGAACAATTCAGAAGATTTTCGTATTTCTTCGTAAAATCCTCGTCGATGGTAAACGTTCAGCTTTACAAATATATTTAGAAAGCAATAACCACCATAAATAAACATATAAATAATGAATGTTTGCAGCATTGTTTTCAAGATTTTGAACATTATAATATACGCAGAATAAAACGTTTCTTTTTCAGTTTAAACACAAAATGGAATCTGAAATAACGCCCTTTCTACGTCAAGATAAATCGCTGTGGTATCGGTTTTTAAAAGGTATTTATAAATTTTTTTTATTTTCACTTACTTGAAAATAAATTTATTTAATCCAATTCCTAAAAGTTTTTAAAGTTATATTCAATGATATATTTTGAAAAACTTTCTTTAACACGAAACTTAAACTACATTCAAGATTACGTTTTAAACTTCAACTTAGGTGATTTATATTACGAGTGCTGTGTTTTAAGTAAAGGTCGTCTGGAAATAAACAAAAAAGTATTTATGGATTAGATAGATTAAAAATATTTATTAATTCTTAAAAGAAAGAAATATTTATGAATCACACTTATATTTGAATTCTTTACAGGTTTCGCTTTTTTTTCTTCAAAATAGTTACCAAATTTGATTAACGCTTACTATACCTTACAACTAGGTTTAGAATACCCTCTTCATAGGAATTTCGAGCTGCTAATGAGATAGAGTTTCTCCTAGAATTCTATATCTAATGACAATGGAATCTTTACAGTGTAAATAAGTTTTCTTATTCACAATAAAAAAAATAAATAAATAACTATTACCACATTATAAATTTCAACCACTTTCACACCAGTTTAAGAGATCAAATTTTAACAGCACTTCTGGGATTGACAACCCAGATTGAAAAAAAAACCCATTACCATCTGCTGGATCTGATATCTCATTTGTGTCTGTAAAAATTTTATGTTTGAGAATTGATAAATAATTTTGCTCAGGATGCTTACATTTCTGCCTTTTAAGTCTTCTAATTTTTATGAACTTTTAAACCTTTACAAACTCTCTTTTTCTGTTGCAAACACAATTAGTGCTATAACCGCTGACTTAGTGATTCTGTCAATAAAATTTCAGATAAGTAACCTTTAGGGACATTAAATGTTTTCGTTACAGTTCTTCCGGTCTAGTAACGTTTCTATAAAGCTGAGTTGTAGTTTCTTACTTTCTGGAATTCTTGTCTTAAAATAAATTTTTATCGAAACATGCATACATTCTAAGGTTAGATTCGAAATTTATTTAAACTAAAGTTTGTATATTTTTGTATCTGCTTTGGTTGAAAAATGAAGTTGTATTAATATAGAAGATACAGTTTTAAATTTTTTTTACAGCTAGAGACTTTGATCTGAAAAAAGCGGAAATCATGTTACGAAAGGTAATAATATGTTACTTGTTAAGCATTTGACGTAATATTAAGATATTTGTTTAAAACAACTTTTACAGGGGTCAAATAGTTTATTTTCTATTAAATTCATTTAAGGAAAATGCATTTTAACTCTTTCATCACCATGGACGAGATAACTTGTCTTCCGGGAATATTCATAGCGCGCTGGAGACGAGATAACTCGTCATTTACACAAAGGTTTTTCAATATTATAGCAGCGTTTCTAGCTGCTTACATGTTAACATTTAGTATGGATCATGTGGCTGGGTGGCGCAGTTGGTTTGTCGTCGGCCTTCTGAGCCCAAGTCTGCGGGTTTGACCCCCGGCCCAGACACCGGATTTTCGGGATGTAAAAAATCCTCAGCGGCCATGTCGTATGATTAAGCGGCATGTAAAAGATCCCTGGAGTGCCTTATTGGCTCTTGGCATTTCCGGCAAAATTAAATTCCTAGTGCACTTTAGCATCCAAATAGAGTCTCGGTGCTGCCATCTAGTGTGGCAGAAACTAGACGTCCAAATTAACATGACCAAAGGTATCTCACCCATTGTGGTGGTCCTGAAAGAGTGGATACCACCTCTGGAGAACGCACTAGGTCTGCTTATCGGCAAGACCGATTGTGCAGCTCATTGGAAAAAAAAGTATGGGTCATAATTTATTAATTTAGTATGGAATATACATTTAATCAGATTCTAAGGGTATACATTTTTAAAAAAATTATTAAAAGCTATTTATATTGGTTCAAAACAAAAATGTTATTTTTTTGCGATGAGTCCGAAATTTGAAGGATGTGGTGGTTAATGCTATAGCTTCTTTTTCAAGATAGCTTCGAAATTATCAAGTGATAAAGAAATTAAATTATCAATGGAAGGTACATAGTAAAAGAGATTTTTTGTCAAAATGAAAGAAAAGTTTATTGTTGGTTATTAAAAGTGAAATTTGGATGACTAATTGTTTGTTCAACCTAAAACTCTTTGATCTTTTTTCACACCCTACATCCATACAAATACACTCTATAACAAAAAAATCGACACACCAAGGAAGACGCGCAAAATCGATGCTCGATCAGGCTGGAATGATGCGAACTGGGGACGTACAGTCTTTAGCGACGAATCCCGCTTCCAACTGTGTCCTGACGATTACCGAAGACTTGTTTGGAGACGCACAGGGCAGAGGGAGGATCCTGCCTTCACTACTGCACGCCACACCGGCCTTCAACAAGGCATTATGGTCTGGGGTGCCATTTCTTTTGACAGCCGGACCCCTTTGGTCGTCATTAGAGGTACACTTACAGCACAGCGGTACGTCGACGACTTCCTAAGACCTGTTTTGCTACCGTTCCTTTTGCAGCTCCCTGGGGTGGTTTTTAAGCAGGGCAATGCCAGACCACATACGGCACGTGTTGCTATGAACTGTCTGCAAGCTTGTCAAACTCTTCCTTGGCCTGCCAGATCACCAGATCTCTCTCCCATCGAGCATGTCTGGGATATGATGGGAAGGCGATTGCATCTGGCACGGAATGTTGATGACCTCGTTCGACAATTGGATCGAATTTGGCAGGAAATACCGCAAGAGACCATCCGGGAGCTTTATCGGTCTATGCCACGCCGTGCAGCAGCTTGTAACGAGGCTAGAGGTGGGTTAACATCTTATTGAACTTGTTACTGTAACTCTGCAATAAACTGTTCAATTGTTCTGAAATTTTAATCATTTACTATTCTGTACACTGTCTTCCTATCCACCAATTTTCGTTTCAATCGGACAACTCCTTCTTGGTGCGTCGATTTTTCTGTTATAGAATGTAGGTGCTTTTTTTGCATAATGGCAACACTTAATAATAACCTTTTTTTTCAGGTATACATTATTAAATCACTTATACATGCAAAAATGTAGTTGATTTTAATTCAAAATATTAGAGTTTTAAAGTTAAAAAGTTCTAAAAATCGATGAAGAAATTTGACTTTAAAAAGTTTTAGTATACCTTTGCAGTATAGTGATATTATTTTAGTAGTTGTATCGTTTCTATTGTATCAGTTAAATGATTGGATGCCATATCTAATAAAATTAATTTATAATATGTTACAACTGTTAAAGAAAGTTTAAAAAATATTTCAAGAAGCTATTATTAGTTTTCTTAGATGCAAAATTGTCCTTTCGGTTTTGGAAAAACTTTGAAAAATAAAATGTATTTCTTAGTGATAAATGTATTACATAGTTACCATTTATGATATATATAATATTTAAAACTGTTTCAAGAAATTAAGTAAAATAAACTATTTGTGATGTAGGATTGTAAATTGATACCTAAATGAGGGAAGAAAAGCTTTTATAAACTCTGACGAGTTATTGGTTAATCTGCGTAATAGATCAAGAACTTATAAAACCAAGTTAGTTAAAATTTATTTTAAAGGCAGTTCTGAACAAAATTTGAAGGCATTTTTGGTTCACTATAAAAGTAAAATGATTTTGAAATATTGACTTACCTCTTAGTGATCTTGTGAAATCTTGAGCAATTTCAATAATGATTCGTTAAAAGTCGTAAACTTTTTTTTTCTCAATGGGTTATTTTTCTACTAAGTCTTTACTTTTAATGTTCGACTTATAATGGTTTACTTTTAATATTTCACTTTTAACGCTTTCTATTAATGTTCTAAAAATATATGTTAATTGGGGCTATTATGGAACAATATGTATATGGCTCATCCTATTAAAAATGAGCTAAATTAAAGAAAATCTTGTTAACGCTATTTCTCAGATTTTTATGAAGTATGTTATTTTTTGTATAAAAGTATTTATAAAAAAGCGAATAAGAAATTTTCTAAAAATTTTTGGTCTATGTCTACATTTTGGAATTTAAGTGAATTTCATATGCTAATAATGACTACATCTTTTTTTATTTATTAGTCAATTTTCTTAATTTTGGAGTCATTAGAAAATCAGAACTGTGCAAGTCAAGTATTATAATGCAAAAATAATATTATTAACGAACACATTTTATTAAAATGATTTTTTAGGAAAGCATACAAACTTTTTTGAAAAACTTTACACAGATTAACTTAACACAAATGCAGGAAAAAAATGCGCTGCAACTTTTTCTGCATAGCGATAAGTATCTTTATTTTTCAATATAAAGAATCAAGAAAGTGTCTTTTGTTACCCTTCGTTAACCCCTTCGTTTTGTTACCTTGTTAAAACCCTTCGTGATTTTATCTTTAAAAGTAGAATAATCAACATTACTTAAAAACGAAATTAAGGTGATAAAAATTGTGATTTATCTGTAAAAAGTTTTTGAAATTTTCAAAAATTTTTTTTACAAAAAATTATTTGAATAATTTTTTTAAATTACTTATGCATGTATTTATAGAATTTTAATTGTTTAATTTCATACTTTTCACGTATTCTTTTGAATGACACTAATAATGAGAAAACTGGCCTTTGAAATAAAAAAAGGTGCTAGTGATCACGTGAAGCAATTTCTCTTTATATGCCATTTTCTTAAATTGAGTCTAATTTCAAAATGATCTCTTTATCGTAGCTTTTGTCCAAAAAATTAAAAAAAAAATATTTGTGCTCTTTTTTGTGTACTTTATTGCAAAAAAATTTCATAAAAATCTGTGTCAACGGTTATTGGTCCATTTTACTTGCAATGAGAACATGGTTTTGATCCCTTCAGGGAATTTCTGATTCACAAAAAAAATCATGTTGTTATTGAATTTAACATGTAATTTTATAAAATAATATGTTTGATATTTTAGCATATGTCTGATGTTAAGAAATTTCAAATTGATGAGGTGTCCATAAGTTATGATCCACCTGAAGTAAGATATTTTTAAGATTTGTAAGATTTTTTTTAGTTATATACACGTGTATCTCAACATTTTTATAATTTTTTTTGTCACAGTGCATTATTGTATCAGCTACATTATTTCATTTAGTTGTGGTGTACTTTTCATTTTATTATTTTGTTAGAAATTTTTTTTTTACGTTTTGATTGAAAGCAAAATTTTCTAAAGTGAAAAAAAATCCCTATACCAAGTTTATAGAGCAGCGATGCGTTCGCCTTCCAATGAGGTGAACCGGGTACGAATCCCAGTGATGCCTCGACTATACGAATCAGCATCCGGCTTGCACCAACCACAGTGCTGACAGGATCATAGGTTAGAGTCCCTTTGCCTTTAGGCTAATCGTGTAGTCTTCCACTCCATGTAACGCAAATGCTGTTTAGTTCCATCAAAAATCTTCCCGAAAACTGCTCCCAATATTTAGTCTCGGACTTCCCTTGTCTTCTGGATTGCGTTCTAAATTACAAGGCTACGGAGTTGAATATTAGTAGTCGTAGATAAAAACCAAAAAATTGGGTCAGCTGTTCAAGGACGGTTATAAGATAAAATAAAACTAAGTTCATAAAATAAAACCTTAACAAACTGGGAATCATTTATAATTTGTACTCAAACGCTACTGTGTGTCATGACATAAATACAGTAGGGAGCCGATTATCCGGAAGGATCGGGGCCATCGCTATTCCGGATAACTGATTTTTCCGGTTTTCTGAATCGCTACAAAAAGCCGTTTTTTTATTGTTGAACCGAACTAAAAAAGAAAAAAATATTTGGAAATAATCTTAAAAAGAAGAAAAAACGAAGTAATACACTAATGATTATTTCCAAAATGATGGTAAGGTGAACATCTTTCAAAAAAGAAAGAAAAATCCTAAAATCTTATGAGGGAAAAAAATTTTTTGGTGGGAAAATTTATGGAATTTCGTTCCGGTTTTCTGATTTCCGGATAACGGGTTCGGTACTGCAATAGAATTGCACTATCTCAAAAAGCTTATACATGTGATCGCAGTTTCCTTGAAATGTAATTCATGAATTGTAATTTCTAAACTGTTTGCATCCTTTCCATTTTTTTCACCTAATAGTCGAAAATTGAACTTTCAACAGAATGGAGTAGAATATGCTCACATTCACTGATTTAAATTGAAATTTTTATGAGTTTATACTGTCAGCACGTTTTCTAAAGTTTTTACCATTTTTTAATTTTTTTTTCAATATTGTAAGTAATTTTTCGTAAGATAAAAATTTCATTCCAGTTTAATAAAAATAAAATTAGAGAAAATTTTTACTCTACCATTCGGGCTTTGTGAGTTAAGAAAAAAGAGACTTGACATAGATTTTATTCTGTTTTAGTTGATTATTTTTATCATGAAATAAAATTCAAAATTTATCTAAGGTATTTTGTTACCACTAATTGGCGTGGAGAATTTTGTAAAAAGATTTTATTACAAAAGTAACTGTGCTTTCTGAAATATATATATATATATATATATTTNATAACTTAGCTGAAAGGTTAAAAAAAAATTTAAACTTATAAACCGACATGATTCTTGAGAGTGTTATTACTATTTTCGTTTAAAAATGCAAATGAATTCATTTGAATTGCCAAGTTAAAGTCTTGGAAATAAATAAATAAATAACCAGCAGTTTTCAAAATTTCCTTCCGAAAATTCCTGGTTTATTGCAGGGAAAAAAAACAAAGTTCCACCCCACTCATTGCAATTCTAGCCTTAATGGAAAACATTATCAATGAGTGATCGAGCATCTCTAAGTAATACACGTTTATTGAAGCAAACTACACATTCACTATAAAAAGTTTTCAAGCGTTTAAAAAATGAGATTTGACTTTAGGTTGTGGGTGTTTTGCACTTTTTCAGCTATGCTTTATTATTTTCTTAACCAATATCCCAGTAGTTTAGTAGCTCACTGTATCATGATTTTTTTTGGTACTCAATTTCAAAAGGAATGGTTTAATAGCAAGCTGTAGTTTTTTAAAACTATAAATATTATATTCCTACTTTTGTGCAATTTTGATTGAATATCTATTTTAAAATTTGTTTTATGGTGTAGCCTTTATTTCATTCAGCATAAACCTGTAGTGTTTTGCAGTATCAGAATATTACTTTATAAATTTATTGCGAAATTGGAGTTGTATAGACCATTTTTTTTCCATGAATGTAGGGCATTTATGATTATATAGATTTCAAATGTTTTGGATTTGATAAAGACGGATGTCCGGCTCATTATAATTGCATGGGAGGAACAGATCTTAAAGGTAAGGCAAGTTTTTAAATTATAGTTTGTCCTTGTACTAAAATTATGATAAACGACAGTCACGGCTATTCAAATATCTCTACAATTTGATCATGTACAAATGACGAGCATTCAACTAAATATTTTAGGCAATAAAGATTGAAATATTTATGCAATTTTAATAAATACATAGGGACGAATAAGTTTTCAAATTCCCTCTTCACTTCTGAGCTGAGCCTATTTTAAAGCATCGGCCTAGCTTTAAGTTTATATGGGGCCTCAGAAAACTGATAGTCGGCTAAAAATTTGCATAACTCATCTATTAAAATGTGTGTGTAAGTGATTGAGTTAAAATACTAATAACCATTATCTATGAAAGCAGACAGAAAAAAAAGGAAATTTGGTTATATTTTTTAATTAACCTGGATTTTTATGCTTATGAAGGCTATGGAAATAAAAGTTTGTGATTTAAAAATCATTTCCTCAGAGATTCGAATTGAGCAGAACATTTCAGAACATTATGTCAAAAATATTTAATGAAGTGCGGAATAGTAATTTAAGGGGAAAAAAACGGTGGAAATTTAATTGGTAAAACCCAATACAATTGTAAGTAGAAATACTTTTTTTAAAATTTAGAACTTAAGTGATGACATACAAAAACTTGCACGCACAGATAATATAATTCATCCGCGTAGGCACAGTTACTTATTACCAGTAAAAAAAAATTAACCAGTTAAGTCACAAATATTTTTGATATCTCTACTTTAAGTGAGAAAAAAATACTATGAAGATTCCAGTTTCTTGCAATTCAATGAATAATTGACCACCAGACAGAGGTGTCTAAGAAACTAAAAGGAAGAGAACCTGAAAAGTGAAAGTTTAAAGGTATTTAGTACATGCGATTTTTTAAAGTTAAAATTAATCCTTTAAGTATTTCGTGAGAATTTTAAAAACAAATGTCAAAAACTGAATGTATCTCTTCATTGTTGTAGGGTAGTGAGTATATATGTGACATTTTATTGAAAAGTAGTGATTTTTTTCAAAAAATATCATACCTTATTTTTAGCTGTTTATTTTATTTTAACATAATTTTAAAGCAAAAAAAAATAAGACGTAAATCCGAAACGGGTGTATGATGCAGCATACAATCTCTATCAAGCACCATTGTACCAATCTGAAAATGATAACATTGATCTCGAGTGGCTGTTTAATGTCTATTCAGTCATCAATTTGCATCAATTGAGCTGCATTTAAATATGTCTGAGAAATTGTGTACCGAGTAGTTCAGGATTAAAGGTTAAAGACGTCCAAGATGAAAACACAATAAAGTATCTTTTCCAAAAAAACATTAAACAACTATTTTGCCAATGGGTAACCACCTGTGATTGCCTTGCGGCAATCACAATTTTCTTCACTTTGTAGTGAATCGTATTTCTTGAATTATTATTATTGCTTTAGCTACTGTGTATTTATTTTTTTAAATTCTAGGTATTCTTTCCGCCTATACAATATTACAAATTTATCATTGTGTAAATCGGTATTTGCAGGAAAGTCTTAAAATGCTAACAGAACAAAGCAAAAAAGTAAGTATGAGGAAATTTTGCCTAGAATTTTTTTCCTTTGGTACATAGATGATTTTTCTGTTGCAAGGATACAAGGATATCAAGTGACTGATGGTTAAGTCATGGTTTTCAGTTGAAAGTCTAGCATCACTGGCTGCGATCAGTGTGCGGTTATGGAAGCACTTTGATCAGGCTACGACGGGACAGAGGAAAAGCGGTGTAGGATCTCGTTAAACTGTTCTATCGTAAAGTGCATGGCTTTGCTAGCAGGTTGTTGGACTATTAAAGCGGGAAAACCATCCCATGTGCGGAAGTTCAAAATTGTGATGGCATGCCTTCGGATCATCCACAGGGTCGTTTTTCAGACAGTCGGCAATAGCCCATTGCCGATCATTAGCACAATGTAAATAAACAACTATAACTTTAATGATATAAAATAAAATACAAATAAATAGAGGGAAATTAAATATACAATTAATCTCAGAGAGTCAAAATTGAATAAATCTAGCTAACGTAATCAAATCAATTGTTTTTTGGATTTGACAGAAAGTATTAAAAAAAGATATGCATTCAAAATTTTTGATTTTAAATTTACATTCAATAAATATGTTTTAATTTCAACTCCTTCCTCCGCAATTCCAACGTTTATGGTAATATTATGACGCATCAGAAGATTTATGAAAATAATACTAACTGAAATGTTTTAAAGCAGATTAAGAAAATATTTCAAAAAGTAATGAAATATTTACCTTTTAATAATAAATTACTTCTTTTTATTGTATGAAAAATCACCTTACTGTTATAGACCACAATGAGCTTAATTAAATTTGCCAATCTGTAAAAACTGAGACAAAAAACAAGCTGCAATCTAAAAATAAAAATTAAAGAGATGGTGGTACCAATTCGTTTAAAAGAAAATATCACACTATTTTGTAAGCCAATGATACTAGATTAATTTTAGCAATAAGTATCAATTGTAATAAAAGTAACTAGGAGGCTTCGCCCCCTGCTCGCTGGCGCTCGCCAACCCCCGGAACTGCTTTCTCAGTTCATATCGGATTGCTTCGCAATCCGATGCTCGCTTTACTCGCTCATTGGATACGTTCTTCTGAACACTGAAGTTCCGAAAACTTTTCACTGTAGAAAATTCTAAACCTGTGCATTTCAATATTAATTTGAAATTGCAAACAGTTCACATATTTTTCTTAATCATCACACTATTCTAAATTTCAGTTGTTGAGAAAAGTAACTGTTGTAAGTTTTGTTTGAAAGTCTTTCCCACCAGAGGGCTAAAACCATGTGTTGTAAAACTATATGAAATAGTACTGAACGCCGGATGTAAAGCATCGGCTTCGATGAAGATAATTTTGTGAGAATTTTTTTGATAATTCGATGAGAATTCACCCGATTAGACATATGATGCTCACTACGTGCTCTTGCGCGCCGAAGCCTATCAATTAAAAATGAAAACTGTTGCCAACGCGAGAAAGAAATATCATCGGTTTTATTGATGCATACGTACGCATTAGCGTTTTATATAATAAGATAGATATGCTATGTAGTACTACAAAGCTAAATTAATAGTGTCAAGGTACTTCATTTAGGAAAAACATAAATTTATGTTTTATTATTACTGACGATATTGTGTAATAATTATTAATTGAAATTAAAATAAGCTATGTTAAGAGCAATATTAATGGAGAAATGGAACTAAGCCGTTTAAGAAGCGTAACAAATCGTCGAACAATTATTGACGTTAATGATGCAGAATGGATTTTAATAACAACTGAAATAAAAAAAATAAGCTCCATAATCTAAGTACTATAAAAAAGCAAAATTTATAGAGAAATAGAACTAACTCGTTTTGGAAAAAAATGCACAAAATCGTCCTATTATTGCTGTCAATGATGCTTAATTTCAGTAATATGCACAGTATCATAGTAATTGGTAGGGGTGAGTGGGGTCAATTGTAACAGGGTACGATTGTAACAGTGCAAAAATTTCGAGTGTCGGGTTCTAGATTTGGTTCCTAGAAGGCGCACAAGGTGTATTTAATAAATATGCATGTACACCCCTGCTGGAAGCCATTTTTATGTACTTTTGAAGGACTTTGTTACATCACAAAAGATATTTTCAAGCTACGTAAGTACTTTTTTTGGTATTAGAATATTATATTGCAACAAAGTAATTTTGTTTAAACAAATGAAAATTATTAACCGAATATGTAAGCGGACACTTAATTAACATTTCAAGAAAAAATATTAGTTTTGTTAATTAACTAGCATTGTTTTTAACAAATAAAGCTGAAATGGCGTCTTGGGGACGATTGTAACAATAAGTAAAGGGACGATTGTAACAGCTGAAAATAANCTGTGAAATGAATTTTGGTAAAGTCCCTCTAAAGTGTTAAGTGCCGGAGAAAATCGCGATTGAGGTAAATTTTGCCAGGAGTTGACCTCGATTGACAGCATCATGCCAATTGAATCTGAACACTGTTACTCTTTATTTTGATGAGAAGAACTACTAAGAACATGTTTTACTTGATTTAATAACATGGAACCACTAGAAGTACAAAATATTATAATAAATTTAAAAAAAAATTGAAATATTTTTGCTTTATTAGTCTTGTTTGCATGTTCTCAATTTCGCGCAAGATTGAGTAGCGTTGTTCAGCTCTTGATTTTAATTTATTAGTATATTGATTTCCTGCTTTTCTACTCCCCGTCCGATGAATGAATGTTCAGTTAGTCTATAATAATAAAAGGAAAAGTCGTATTTCTCTTTCTGAAGTGAACAATTATTTGTTCTAATATCTTGAAATATTGGCAGCGGCTACTAGGAGAAAATTTTAGCGTCGTATTTGAAATTTTCAAATAGATCATCAAAGAGAACTATTTGAAAAATGGAATTTTCTCTTTGGTCAAGACTTAGCCAGCATTTTATCTTGGCTAACGAAATTTTATGCAATTATTGCATACAATAAATAAAGCCATCAATGGAAGTTGCAAGTTTATTGCTATATTTTGCGACATTCAGTATTTATTTCCAGTTTGTTCATGACCTTATGAGCTCAAAAACAACTTTTTTCGTTCGTGGTTTATAGTTGTTTTCATCCATTGACTTCTTCATTACTTGTTTCATTGATCCTGCGCAGTAACTTTTCAGTACGCACTCATCGTTTTCACGCATTTCATTTCCAGAACTATCCACTTTGAACTGTCAATGTGCTTCTAGCACTTACGTTCCAAGATAAATCTAAAATTAGGTAGAGAGGCAATTTATTTACGTCACTTTAGAGCTGCACAATGGGCTGCTGGATACATTTTTAAAGGATGATCCGAAGACATGCAATCACAATTCTGAGCCTCTATAGAGAGAACCTCATTCGTGAGTTCCCTTCTTCAATTTAGGCATAGATCTGAAGGGGAAGGAAATTTTCTCCAGAATCTTGTACTCACGGTACTGCTCAATGACCGACTTAATGACTTTCGATTTCACAGATTTTACGAGCACGTATATTACATGTACTTGATGGGTCTTACCGGAGTTGAGGAACCTCGAACTCTGCGAACCAGAGTTAGGCTCTTCAATCACTGGGCTTCAACTGCCGGGATCTAGACTTTGAGAATGATTTTACTGGAGATACCATGCGACAGCTTCGTGGTTAATATAGACTAAGCACAGAATATTGATAGATAAATTGGAGTTATGAAATCATCCGATTTGGCTAGCGTCAATAATGCATTTTATAATTGATATTACTTTTACGATATTATTTGCAAACATTATTACTTTTCAGACAGGTTTCAAAATATATCTGACTACTTCAGATTTTTAAAAAGATGTAAATGATTTCATAAATGAACTCATGAAAATCAAACAGCATTTAGATTTTCAAATTTACCAAACCATTTAGTTTTATGTCAACTTTATAGTAATATTTCTTTTTTTTTTTTACAGCTTGGCAAAGTGCTAACTCAGTTTGTATTCATATTCGATATGAAAGGTTTTAGTTTATATCAGGCCTCAAACAAGGAAGGTAAGCGAATTATATGATTTCTTGATATTATTTATAAGTAATAATTATTTTTTGTTTCACTTGCTTTAGAACTAATTATTATTTTGACTTTTAAAAATTACACATCACCAACCTATTTCAACCCAACATCAAGTCATTGCCAGAAAAAAAAATAGTGACCAATCTAAAATTTATATTTTTGATATTAAAAACTTAGCATTGTTTTCCTCAAATTATATAAAATAGTTGCCTAGCATTCAGTCAAAAATACTTATGAGATATATTTTTAAAATCCTTCTAAAAATGACAGAAAAAGAGTGTACACATATAGGGACAATATATTAATATTTCAGCTGGGAAAAGTTATTGATTTATTTGAATTCCCGGATTAGAATTTGTCAGATTTGCTTTCGAAATGAAAAAAATGTGAATATGAATCTTGAAAATAATAAAGAGAAAAAAAAAGTAGAAACCAGTCCAATCATTCACTCACGATATTGTGAACCTTCTTGACGTGATAAACCTTCTTTGCAATATCATTGTTTTCCATTATAGTGAAGGAAGCTAAATGGAAAACCTTCAATCATTTTAATCTTATTTTTAAATATACTATTAAGTTTCATGTATGCATTCGATAAAATAAAAAGAATCCTGTGATAATTTTTTCGATATACCGGAATGTTAAGGGGGATTTGATGGTCAAAACACAACTTTTTTTAAAAAAAAAAACGCATATGGTTGCAGACTTAGGTGAAATTATAGAAAAGTGTTTACATAAAAATGAGTTCTCAATTTTTTGGGTGAGTTCTAAATCACTGTCGTTTTTAAATGATTGACATAATCCAATTTTAATCTGATCTGATTCTTTTAATTATTAAATTATAATAAATTTCTTATTATTTTCACTTGTTTTATCCTATGTTACAAAAACTTCTGCGTTTTAATAGTCTATGCGGTAAACTTTCTGCGCAAATTTTCAAACAATATATGAACTTAAATATTTCTTACTAACATTGATAGGAAGCATGTAATTAATTAAATGACTGACTTTTTCGCAAAGACGCTTTTAATTAGCCGATCAGCCCACAGAGACTAAATAACGCAGAGAGACTTCGTAATGACTCGTAGACACTGAATTTTCACTCGACACTACACAGGCACACTTTCTGTTTAGGCCTGGTGAGATCAGTGATTTACAGTGCACAATATGATATAACATTAAAAAAATACAGGTGGTTATCAAAATAATGGAAACACCCTGGATTTTGAAGGAATCCCTTATTAATATGGCCGTAAATGTTCTCATTATGAAGGTATCTCCTAACTGTAATTGTTGACCCTGGAGAATCCAGATGCTGATTGAGCTCTGCGGTCACTTTGGCTGCAGTTGTTTTCTTTTTAGACATTACAATCCGCTTCAATACCCGTCGGTCTCTTTCACTCAGCTTCTCCTTCCGTCCACTATTTTGCTTTGCTGAGCTTGTCTTTC